TATATATATATTGTATTAAATAGTTTAATGCCAGTATTTACTAATTTTAACAAAGTTTTTAATATTCGTAAGCCATGCTACACACACTCTGCGCTTTTAAAGCGCTATCCTTAATCTCTGCTAATCCTTGTCCTCAACGCTTCACGTTGATATGGTGTTATTTTTACAGTGTTTTCTTTATTTCTCCTGTTTTTTTTTTTTTTTTTAATATTTTCAAGAGTACAATTACAATTTGCAACGAGTAAAAGTAGTAATAGTATTTAAGGTACAGACCGTACAAAGTTGATCAAATAGACTTAAGTTTCAGTTACAGCAATAGTTAGTATTAAGATACCTAAGTTTAGCTGAAAATATCTTAAAGCTTTTACAGCCATTATAGAAAATAGAGTTTCAACAATGATTACAATAGAGATTTCTCAAAGCACAACCAATTTTTAGTTTTCGTTTCATATCATTTCGTTTTGTTGCTCTTACGCCATTTGGCAACAATCATTTTGTTTTTTTCTAGTTTAAATTTTTGGAAAAGATTCTTCGATCAACAGCCAAAAGTGTGTAGAGTAATTCAACTGAAATGGTTTTCTTTTCTTTTCCCCATTAAGGTTCTACCCGACTACCCTGGACAAATTACATGCCTATACAAATGTATATAGCCTTTCATCTTTTCTCTTAAGCCGTTGCACATTGACAAATGGAATAGTTCTTAATCTAAGCTTTAAGAGGGTTTTCCGAAAATAACAATATCTAAGAAATACTTAGGAGTAGCGCTTTATATACTTTGTTTTTGTTTTACACCACTTGAAATTGTTTGAAGTCCTTTTGCTAACTAACTAACGGTAAAAATATGTCGCAGTTGTAGTTACCGTAAAAGGGTATTCATCTGAGGCTTCACAGTTAGTTAGTAGATAGTAAAAAGTTTTAGTTTAAGTGTACTCTAGTTTAAGTATTTATAATATGACACCAGTGTATGCTAGAAAGTAAATATATGTATTTTAACACTTTAATTTTCTCTACTTTTCTTTTTTGTTGTTTTTTTTTTTCTTTTATTTTCTTTTGTATATTTGCCAAGTTTGAAACTCCAAGTTGAACATTGATGTTGCTTACAAGTTCACAAAAAAAAGAAGAAATTTAAATTTAATATTTTTTCAACTTTAGTTTATTTGCTTTTTAGCCAAGTTATTCATTACAAGAGATTGTCCTGTCGAAAGTCGAATTTAAGTTATGGAAGTTTAGGAATAGGAGGAAGTGGGGGGATTCGATCGAAGCAAAAAGCTCTTCAACTGTCGCGTTGCGCCTACCACACAGACTACCGAAAAAATGACTACAGTAAATTCGTCTTAATCACGCTTTAGTCGCACTCGCACACACTCACACACACGCACACGCATACACATGCACAAGTAGATTGTCATATTAATTTAGTTGTTTGTTTTCATCAATTGATATCATTGTTTTTTTTTTTGTGTTTTTTTTCTGCTTCTTCTGTACACTGAGAAAGTTATAGCATTTGATTTGTTGAAACCTTTGCGGGTTTACATAGTAGACTATGGCTCAAGGAATTTCAACTGTTTCGCCTCTGCGACTCAAAAAGTGGTTAATTAGCGCAACGTTTAGCAAACATTTAGTTGATATTATGTTATATAAATAAATATATATATATATATTCGTTAATATATAATGTGTACTATAGTTAATCTGTGGAATACGCCTTCGATTTACTTGCCAATTCGTTGACTTGCCTTAACGATTTTATTGTTTTTCATTTTCAATTAGTTTGTTTAATTCTCCTTCCTCTCTCTCTCTCTCTCTCTCTCTCTCTCTATGCACATAACATTCACAAACACAACAACAACAAGCAAAAAAATATATATATGTTTATATGTATATATTTTTTTTGTATTCTATTTTCTGTTCTGGTACTCTCGATTCTCAATTATTGTGCTGCGAACGGTTTGCCATAGTGCTGCCTTACTGTACCTAACTGTACTTACAAAGCTCTCACCCCATATACACAACTCTAAAACATCCATAAACGCTGTCAAGCTCATTTAACTACTATAACTATTTGGGAAGGAGGCATACAATAAATATCTCTATATATATTTGGGACTTTTGGTGCTTGCTTTGGATTAAAACTTTGATTAAACAACAAATGGTTGATTGGCCAGCTTAAATACTAACAAATTGAGCTTTTACTTTAAGCAGTAGCATATCATTAAATATTGGTGTTATGCATTTCAATTTTATTGTTTCTGTTGTCGCTCGCATTCGCGTGTTCGGTCAAGGAGAATTATCCGAATCGGAGCCGCCATAGCTGTGCATCGGGAATAGCGGATACCAGCCAGTGATATGCTGTCCGATGTTCACTTTGTCCAGATTCACCTCCGTGCCGCCCAGGCCCTGATTGTGCTCGAAGCCCACGCAGCGCTGCCAAACCATGATGACTATGTTCCGGCCAAAGACATCAGCGCTCTACATGTGTGTGAGTGTGTGAATGTGTGTAAAAATAAAATTTATTTGCATATAAATTGCATTAATGCCACTCAGCGTAATTACTGGAAAATACACATTTAAATGAAAATATAAAAGCAGCAGTGCTATTCACATGATTTTCTACACTTGCTTTACACTGTAACGAATAGGGTATATTGATTAGGTTGATTACTCAGTATAGAGTAACTATAATATTTCTAGATTTTTTCCAATAGAACTCTATCATAGTCCTGTATGCTATATACGTAAATTGTCAGACTTATAAATAGGGTATTTTGCACTGCATTGCAGCCGATGCTTCGAGCCTCTGCTGCCACCTGTTCATTGTTTTCAGCCATGCACACGCACATCCACAGCCCAAACAACTCACTGCGGAATCTGCTGCAAATTGGCCGCCATTAATCGCATTAAAATTCAACGGGGAACAACAGCTACCGCAAGCCGACATTACGTTGTCGGTCATTCACGCGCTTAATGCCATTTGAGGCATCATCGTGGGCCCGTTTGCTCACCTGGTATTTGATGGTCTGCTTGTAGAATGGCTCTGCGGAGTGCCGCACTACGCGCGTCTTCTTCTTGTGCCGCAAACGCTCACCATCCTTGATGTAGCACTTGACATAGGTATCCGGCGGCGTCTCGCAGTCGGCGTTCACAATATTCCGTGCGCAAATTAGCTGTTGAATGGAAAAGAAGAAGCTATTGATGAACTGATATAAATATATATATGTATATAGATAGACTCATTATACGAGGGTAGTCTGAAAAAAATATTTGCCTACCAAACGATGAATAATACTGTAAAGTAATTTTATGTCTGGTAGGTTTATCTTATATCTTCATTTATCTCCACTTAAAGATCGCAAATTTCCCAGTAAGCCCTCGCTTTTCATTTTGTATATTCATATATATTTTATATTGGTAATTATAATCCTTAGCCGCACTTACCTCCACCTCGACATTGCCTTTGATTTTGACAAAACCCATTTTAAGCTCGCCATAGCGCGCCGTGGTCAGCCGATAGCCCTTGGGATGTATCTGGGAGGGGCCGAGCTTCAGTCCGTAGCTCGACTCGCTGCCCGTGATGGCAGAGACGTTGACATAGCTGCCGCTCAGGGTTTTCACCACGCTCTGCTTCCTCTGTGGACTGTCGCCGCTGTCTGTGCTGGGGCGTTGATAGACGCTGCCCTTGCGTTGGGGACTGTCGCCGCTCTCTGTGCTGGTGCGCTGATAGACGCTGCCCTTGCGCGTGGGCGTGCCCATTGGGGGCGTTTCACTGGACGATGGCACATAGACGCTGCCCTTGCGCTGCAGCGACTGCGATTGGGACTGTGCGGTGTGTGCTTCCCCCAACTGAAACATGCTGCCTTTACGCTGCTGCTGCTGCAGCTGTGCAGCGCTGAGCGCGTCCTGTCCACGCAAGTTGACCATGCTGCCCTTGCGTAGCGTCTGCTGCTGACTGGCATCGCCCAGGCCGCTGCCGAGCAACTGGCCCTGCTTATCTTGCGCCACATTCGAGGCGGAGGCGGCCTGCTTTAGCCTGGACAATGCCTGCTTGGCGCTCTGCGGGGGCAGATGTGTGCCCGAGCCCTTCCAGCGGTGTCTGAAGCGTTTATCTTCATCATCGGACGGTGGACTGGTCTCGGTGGTGCCAATGCCAACTGGCAGATGTTGCTGCTGCAGCTGCAACTGTTGCAGCTGTAGCTGTTGGAGCTGCTGCTGTTGCTGCTGCGACAGATCCAGTATGGAGCTCTTGCGGCTATTGGGACCACTGGGTAGGCCGACACGGCTGGCACCTGCGAAGGTGTTCCAATTAATACGATTCGGCCGTGACATGCACTGAAGGTCGCTCAACTGAATGAAACTTGAACTCAAGGTACTCAAGGCTTACTGGACGAAATATGAAGATGGGTATATGGTCTACGGCTAAGTCTAAGCTCTAAGGTCTAAAAGAAGAGAAAAGCTTTATGCTAAGACAGAACAAACATGCAAATAAACAGGTAACAGTTAAACAGTGCGTATGCGTGATATTATTTGAAGAGTCATTTATGCATCCAGAGTGTACGAGAATTTCTGTTTTAAATGAGAGTTAATTTGTGCATCTCTGATCCTCTCACTGATTATATTCAGGTAATGTGTCAACGGTTTGACACACTTCCTTTTCGGCTTTAAGCCTAAACTGTCAGCAAATTTTGTAACATTTTTAAAATAGGTATGTTTTTTATTTGTGATTAATACCAAAATGGTCGAATACTCTATTGATGAGGCATTAAACGTTATTGGTGAGCCCATTGAAGTATCTCATTCCGACTGTCAATGCCAACAAATTTGCCATCCATCCATGCACAACAGGCTTTGGACGCTTGCATTACCTTATATTTTTCGGCTGTTTTACACAACAGATGTTTGTAAGCAACGAACAGTTTGGCATTTCGCTGGTGATTGTTGCGGCTAGCTGTGATTATTATGTGGATGAGCATCGCATGTCCTGGCTAATGGTCGCCACGTTTGCGGCCCAGGCATGCAGCAGTCACTTTATGGGCTACCAGGCGGATAAAATCGGTCGTCGAAAGCTGATGATCATCGCCTCTACGTCGTGCATGACGGCATCGTTTATATCGTCTCTGATGCCAGAATTCTGGTCATTCTTGGTGATGCGCTTCGTAATGGGTATCTTGTAAGTCTGGCAATTGCTGTTGTTATCAATTCAATTGTTTTGTCGCCACAGTGTACCAGGTCCTGGCATGGCAGTGCTAACGTACTTGAGTGAGTTCACCAAGTTCAACCTGCGCCCGAAGGTCATCAACTTTCTATACTATGCCATCGGTGTCAGCTTAATGTATATGGCAGGTAAGCAAGGTAAGTTTCATCAATAGATGTCCACTCTGTCGATTTCTACACTCAGCTTGGGCCGTGTTGCTGCTACCGCTAGATATACGTGTGAAAATTCACAAGAACTATGCAATTACCAGCTGGCGTATCCTCATGTGGCTCCAATTGGTGCCCGGCATTGTTTCCTGCATCATATTTACCTGCACGCCAGAGAGTCCCAAGTACTATCTGTCGGTCGGGAAGCCGGACAAAGCGTATGCCGTTCTGGAGAAATGCTGTCGCTCCAGCAAGGGCAAGGATGTGACGCTGAAGAGCCTGGGTATCGACTCGCTAAGGCCACCAGAGACATATGCGCTGGAAACCACGAAGACGTGAGTTGCACTCCCAATGCTTTTCTCTTGTTTCTCTCTTTGCTAATCTCCTTACATTAAATATTACTTTTCAGGGGATGTGCACGCGTGTGGGAGGAAACAAAACCTATATTCACGCCACCCATTCTGAAGCCGATGATGCTCATTACGTTTACTCTCTTTCTGCTGTTTGGCACGTGGGTAACTGGTTGCAAATCCCATCCGATCACATCACACAGCTCTTATGCGTTGACCATTTGATATGTGATCTCTTATGTGTATCCTTTACATTGCACAGGGGCTTTGGCCTAACGGTTTGGATACCACGCGCTCTCAAATTGGGAAACGACCTTCATAAGGATTTGATACTCTGCGATATGATAGACGAGGCGCATGCTAAGAACATCACCTTTACCGAGTCACCAGTGTGTTTTCGATTTGTGATCACGAGATTGTTCAGCTTCACTAACAGCTAATTTACAGTGTCATTTGAGCATGAGAACCTTGGAGGCATCCATTTACCTTGGCGCTTGTGCCATACTCTTCTCAGTACTGATTACCGTGCTATTCGTTTGGACTCATCGGAAGATCATTCTGCTGTTGATGGCGTCGCTCAGCGTTGCGGGTGGCCTCATGCTCAACTTTGTCAAGATCCATGAGCTGGTCATCGTAGGCTGTGTGTTCCTAACGGTGCCCGCTTTGTGCAGCATAAGATTGGCTCTGTCGGTGCTCATTGATGCAATACCAACACACTTGAGGTAAGCCAAAAAGTGATCTAGATCTAAATCTTCCGAACTCACGAAATCCATTCCCCCACACGCAGAAGCAAGGCTGTATCACTGTCCACGATGTTTGGCCGTGTGGGAGTCCTGGTTGCCAGCATGTATGTGGGATATACGTTGAGCTGGAACTGCTTTGTCACATTCAATATGTTCGTGGTGTTTATGGCAGGTAAGTGGGAGATGCAATTAGTGCGTACATCTAATATGACTGTCTCTCAATTACGATTTAGGAGTGATTTTGCTCGTTAGCTTTTTGCCCTTTGACGGAAAGACTGGCTCTCGCGTAGCGTTGTAATGCCATCACTGTTTTCAAAGTATTCGGAATATATATACAAATTGATATGTATACACATATATATTGAGGTACACCTCATTAGCAACGTTTTCATACATGCATTCATTGTTCATCAGTCAATCAATCATTCAATCGATTGAGCCGCAGTGAATGTGAAAAAAGGGATTATGGATAAAGTTTGGTGTTTTTTATGACTTTCATTATAAATAAAATCATATGTCAAGAAAAACTTTTTGACAGGTGTTGAGAGACAAATTTCAGTCAATTCAAAATTTGATCGTGTATCGAAAGGAGCGAAACCTTTTTATATACTTTTTAAATAAAAACACTTCATTTCCATCCAATTTTTTGCTGCTCTGCTTTTTGCTGTTGCGTGACATCAACTCACAAATATTTTCCATGGGTCTTAATTTGCGGCAGCCATTGTAGATTTCCATATTTAACGGCCCGTTTGTGGTTCCTGGGGCAGTCGGTCCGCCCGCTGGGTTGTCTCCCCTTTTTCTTTCAGTTTTCTTCTGATTTCTTATTTTTGTTCAGTTCGGCCTTATATGGCTTTTCATATTTTGCGTGTCGTTGGTTTTTTGATTTTTTTGATTTTTATTTTATTTAAACTTAATTTCAAGGCTGAGCTATTTTTTCGGGGGCCTGCTGAAGGGTTTATGGCAGGCATCAAGGAGTTGTCTCTGGTGCTCAGGTAATGGGACGTGGCAACTCGCCGCATAGACGTGAGTGTATGCGTGTGTGTGTATCTGTGTGTGGCTTTGCATTTTAAATAAAATTTGTTTGAGGCTGCTTTGTTGCCTGGCGCAAATAACAGCAATAAGCTGAATTAAGCTCAACCAAATGATGGCATCAAAAGTTTTCACGAGTCCTGGGACTTGACTTATCCGCTTCGTTTTTTATGCGCGCGCAACACAGGCATTACACATCTGTGTGTGGGTGTGTGTGTGTGTGCTTGGGGGTTTGTTATGTGTGTGTGGCTTTATAATATACCGAGAGATGTGCGGGGAAGGGTTGAAGGTGGCTCTTAAGCTCAGGCAGCGTGCATTGGTTAATGGTGTGTGTGCGTCGTAAGTGTGTGTTAATTAAGTGGCATGCAGCTAGAGTATTCAACGGAGAAATTCCTGAAAGTCCTTTGCCAAATAAACCAGAGTCAGGCACTAGTCAGGCAAGCAAAATAGAAAAAATAAAACAACAACAAAAAATTGCAACTCAAAACTGAAACTCAGAACGAAAGTTCATTTTGCATTCTTACCAGTGGGTGAGTTGGTGGTTTTAGTGTGTTTAAATACTTTTGCTTTGCATTGCTGTTGTTGTTTGTATTGTTTTATAAATATATACATATATATCTATTGAGTATATACATACATATATACTTTGTCTGGCAATAACATAAACAATTATGCTGGCAAGCTCAATTTGCTGTGTGGTTTTTGCAATGTGTCTTGTATAATTTACAAAAAGATTGTTGCACAAATTATGTTGGAGATTATTATTTGGTTTCTTGCTGTTGCTGTGGTTTCTGCTTAAGTTCGTTAACTGTATTATTTGCCGTGCAAAAAGTGTGATCTTAGTTATGAGCATATTAGTGTAGCTAGTTGGGAGCATTTGAGTTTAAGCTTGAAAACGGAGCTTAAGTGAGATAAATTCTTTAAAAAGTTGCTTGCATTATTTATATAATCATTGGAAGTTAGTGGGATTTATTATTTATTTGCTTAGTTAGTTAAATATTGTGTGATATGGTTTATCTTTTCGTGTTTGTCCAGCTAGTGTAGGGTGTGTCAAAGCTTTGATAATGCGACACCGATATTGTGGCTAATAGTGAGAAAGATATGGGAGAGCAAAGAAATTAGATAGACACTTGTGAATAGAGGCAAATGCAAAAGAGAGAGAGATATATATATGTAAAGATATAGCAGTAGTTGTAGTATGTATGTATAGTTGCGAGAGTGAGCCAGAAAATAAGACCAGACACACAGCAAGGCAGTTTCATAGAGTGTGAAAAGAGGAGGAGACACAGAGGGTGTTAAAGAGACAGCGGGGTATCATAACAGCTCTAGAGAGTTTGCTTAGTTTGTTTAGCTGGGCTAGGAGCACACTTGTTCTTTGTTTTCTTCTGAAATATGAAATCACAGTAGCTGCTTTCCATACTCAGCTGAAAGGTAGAGAGTTACACTAGACTACCAGGGAGCCGATACTCACGTCTTGAGCCCATGCGCTTGGGCTGTTCGGTGTTCAGGCTCATGGTGCGTCCCAGCTCGCCGCGTACAGCCTTTAAGGACTTCATGATCTCATCCGGATCGCGTCGTGCCACTGAGGAGCGACGCCTGCCCACAAGATAGGATGTGGGCGGCGTGGCCATAGCATCCTCTTCCAGCCGATTCTTTTCGGCATCCTGAAAACTGGAACGACGCGAGCCCGGCAATGAGCGCGAGAAGTCCTTACCCAGCTGATACACCTCCACCTCCATCGTTTCCGACTGCGATGAGCCGCGTCGCGAGCCCGCTATCCAAGCATGATCTGGATGAAGCAAAGACGCACCATCCCCAATCGAGTCCACATCATCCGACATCGAGCGCTGTGTATTGTAGTCCCGACGGATCAGACGTGACACATCCCCACAATGTGCGCCAGCAATGGAGCCACGTGGCGACACGCTGGGCGACTTGCTGATGCTGATGCCGCGCAGCCCCTTGGGATCCTCCAGACGGCACCAGATGGCCTGGTCATCGAGAAACGCCTGCTGCAACTCAATGTTGCACTCGCCCAGAAATATGGACTCTGTGTGCGGCACCAGATCCCACAGTTGTATATCTATATAGCGATCCATCAAGCTGTCGGCCTTCACATGGGCAAAGGTTAGTGTAGCATTCCAAATGGGATTCTGAGTGGGTCGGCTGACCTCCGTTTGCTGCACGCTGCCATCGCCGCTGCAGCAGCAAGAGAAAATAGAGAGAGAGAGAGAGCGAGAGAGAGAGTTTAAATTAAACTGAACGAATAATAGATGACAGATGATGGCAATATATCGTTTATGTCCAGCTGTCCAGCTGTCTAGTTGTCTAGCTGTCCAGCTCCACACTCACCACTTGGGCAGAATGCGAACTTTGGCGTATGCCTCCGGCAAATTGCCATGCCCATATGCCTCATCTCGCAGCGCCAGATCATCGGCAGCCATTAGGGATACGACCAGCTCGCTGCGCTCCGCATGATACCAAACCTGTATTTGCACCCGGCCGCTGACCATTTTCTCCCGGGCAATTTGCTCCTGCGGTTGAGAGAAGGATTAGTACTGAAAGCCGTTCACGACTGGGCTAACAACTCGAAGCATGTGTTGTGGCTGCGCTGTACAAGTATCGTTTTAGCTTAATAGCTAGTTAGTTAGCTGATTAAATTAGCCTAATGCCTACATATGTAACGCATTGAATCTTTTATCTTTAGTTTATAGTTCAAATCGCATATTTACAGTTGCTTGATTGTGTGGCTGTGACTGTTCTTTGTTTGTGGCTGTGGTGGTGGTGGTGGTGGTGGTTCGTGTGTACGTAACTGAACAACAAATGAAAGCAATATAAACATAAATAAGTCTAATTAAACCAGTGAAAATAAAGCGAGACACAGAGAGAGATACATATATGTTAATATACATATATTAAAAACAGAGCAAGATGAAGAGAAATAGAAAGAGATAGTGTATAACGAAATGCAAGGCATGCGAATAAACATGGCAAACGAAAATGCATTGCATAGCCACAGGCACTACACACATACACAGATATATGTATACATATACACGGATGCATAGTTACATGTAAATGATGCTTAAATAAGCGCACATTATGGCACACACACGCACACATGCACACAGATCTATTTGTATTTACATTGACCACACGAAGTACCGCAAATGCAATCTGCTGCGGGCATTGTCTAGTGTTGTATTTTTTTGCCCTATCCTGTTAAGCTCTCTGAAACGGAAGTCATTGCTGCGCAGTTGCGCATAAGAGTCATTGTTGCCATTGCTGCTGCTGTTGTTGTTGTTGTTGTTGGCACAGTGCTGTGTTTATTATACTTTTGCTTGTGTTGAATATAGCGCAGCCTCATAAAATATTCATACCATGTACATGCGCACAGTCGTAGCAAAAGCAACAGCAACAACAGCACCAACAACAACGATAGCAGCTGAAACGAATGTCGAACTGCCTGGCGTACAGAGCTCTGCAATTGCAACGGAAGCCGCCATATTGCAATAACGTGTGTCAAAACGGAAATAGACCACATACACACACCCACGTATATGCATAACTGTTGCTCAGCTTGTGTGCGTGTGTGTGTGTGTGTGTGTGGAACTCTTTATGGCAGCGCCAAAAAGTTTATTACATTACGAGACACATTTCTCATCTGTTGGCGCGAACGAAATCGAATTCACAAGGGGCGTTTATAAGGCAGCAGCGCGCACTTATCTACAGGTAAGCAGCACACCCACACACATGCACAGGGCCAGGATTATTGAAGTTGATCAAAATGGCAGGCTGGCTGGTTGGCAGCGATAAGTGCCTAAACACTTGAAAAACTTTGAGGCAGACGGCTAACAGTGGATTGAAAGGGACAGTGGAGGTGGGACCGGTTGCCTTTCAAAGGCAACACCGATAATAATGACGACGCTGCTGCCTGAATTGTTGTTAAAAGTTTTCTAATTTTCGACATTTCAAACATTTTATGCCTGCCAGCTGTCAATTAAAGACGACAGCACCTGTTGCTGACAGCGCCAGGGCCTAAAACAAGGTCTCCGGACAGCTCCCCGGCCAGCTCCAGCACCAAGCGCGGTGTGGCAAAAGTCAACTGTTGCCTGGTCGTTGGGCGTAATGAAAAACTCGCACGCCAACTTGACACCTGCCCCGGACATAGAGACTGTCACAGAGACATAGGCAGAGGCAAACACATAGGCAGAGACAGAGAGAGAGAGAGAGACATAGACAGTGTCTCAAAGTTGTAGCGTCTAAACCGCAGCTAGGCGAAGGCCTGTGGTTGCTTTCTTTACCCTTGCGCCTACCGTTCCTTTTCCTCCCCATCGTGGGTCCAACTGCTGCTTGTGCGTGTCGCAAAGTAACTAAAATTGATAGTAATTTCTGGGTATACGCTGCGTATGAATAATATATGCAGTGCAGACAAGCAAAACGTAACACATTCAACAGACACACGATTAAATACATGAATTTAGGGAAACAAATGCGATTTTATGTGAGTTAGCAGCGTGCACTGAAATATACATTCATATAAATAAAAGTCACATAAATATTTAATTAGCTTAGAGAGAGAGAGAGAGAGCGAGAGGGGGAGAGAGTAACTCCCCTCGATATTTACACTCACATACATACATATATACATACACATATGCAAATATAAATATATGTATATGTATATGTGTATAGCTAAGCCGGTACATGTAATATTAACACTCGATTCATTATGTTTGTTTAAGGGTCCCCTATATGCATATGTCAATGAAATCGTTACATTCAATAAATGAATCAATCAATCATAAAGTCAGGCGAGAAACAGCATCAGCTCATCAATCAATCAATCAAATTGATGACACTAACTTTATTTGCTGCTTCGGCTTCGGCTTCTGCTCTGCTTTTGCTTCTTCTTCTTCTTCTTCTGCTTCTGTCGTTATAAAACATGTGTTTTGCATTTGATTTCTCTGTTTTTCTGTTTTCTCTTTAAATGTTATTTTTGTCATCGGTATTTTGTGATACAAGTACTGCAAGAATTTTGATTGTGGCAAAACTCAGGTGATTTATGTTTAGTTTTTAGCATTTAGTTGCTGCATTTTGCTGCAGTTTCGATTTAGTTAAGATTAGTTTATATCGATTGCCATAACTCGTGCCAGCTGGGGTTACAATTGTTGTACAGGTGGAAATGAAAATGTTTAGCTCATATACAATTTGGTAGTAGGATTTCGTTTATCAAATAAATATATATATGCAAATATATATACGTATTTATTTATATAGTTTTATAGTTAAATGCATTTGTATTAGTTGCAAGTTGTTTAAAGAAATGCTAGTCGGTTTAAGATTAAAGATCCACTAGATGCTAGTCAAACAAATTTTTGGTAGGCTTTGCGGTACATCTTATGCAAAATAAGCAAAATGCAATTAAGTAAAAGAAATTCTTGGAAAGAAGGGAAAGAAAATGAAACAAACTTTACAAATTTACAAAAACAAAAATCAAGGTTGATCAAGTTCAATTTGTTTTGTGTGTGGTTTGTTGTTCTTTGTGAATCTTCTGCCAAGCGACCCTCTGTAGTATAAGCAGCTAATACTAATACAGATCTTAGGCTGTCCTCCTCCAACTAGTGAGTATTTTACAATAAATGTTCCTTGTATTTTTATATATATGGATATATTTTTATATAAATTACGTTTCCTTACATACAACCAAAGAAATCAAATCATATAAATGAATAAATCATACTGAAATGCATTAGTCTAGTTGTATGTATTTACTGCAAGGTGTGTGGATAGTATATTACAAGGTTTCACTTTGTTTGGACGTTATGCAACACTATGTACGAGTACAAGTTGGAGAGCAAGAGAGACGGAAAGACAAAGACTGAGTGAGAGATGAGGGGTCATTAAAGAGTCAAGAATTATGCATAAACCGAAAGAAAAGGAAACGTCGGGTAGGGATAGGTAAACATTTGCTAAGCGAAACGCAAACAAAAGCTCATAAATTGACAGAGAAATGGAAATTGTTTACAAGGACACAGCGCAGACAAAAAATACAGGGCGTATACGTAACAATAACAAAGAAATTTTTTATGTATATATGAACCAAAACAGACGAAACGAAACGTAACGAAACGAAACTTCAAAAGCAAAATCATAAAGAAAAGCGCACGTTTCATTATTATTATTATTACTATTATTTTGTTTTTTTTTTTTTTTTGTTTTTTTTGTGGGCATTACAATATGTAAGTACAACTTATAGAACCTAGCTATATTACACTGGTTATATTAATATTTCAAAAGGATTTTTCTAGCGGTTTATTGGACGTGCTAGATCTGTACAGGGTATATTTATATATAATAGGTATGTTGGTATATATATTGTTGTATGGGATGCTTCATTTACATATTAGGTATTGATAGAGTTGCTTTGTTCATTTACCATTTGGTGGGCATCGCATTGGTGGGGTGCGTCGGTGTTGACTTGGGGCTGACAGGAAGCTGACAAACTGCTGCATACAAAAGTTATAAATCGAATTTCCAGGCAAATAGTTTTCGGTTTTTTGGACTTGCAGTTAATATAGAGAGACTTTATTTTTCACGTTTCTTTTAGTTTTCAAATATTTAGCACATTGGTACGTGTTAAATGTTCAAAATAACTGGGTGTATATAGATATCGTATAGAATTGTAAAGTTATGTATACATGGGTATATATATATATTCATGTATATATATAATATAGTATTTCGTAGGTGTAAAGATAAGCGACTGACTTTCTTAAAATGTGATTCGATTTCCTGCCAGCGGCTGTTGTTGTGTGACTCCGTCCGGAGGTCCTCTATGTTTCACCCTTTTTACATTTAAAAATTTTAACATATACATACATAAAAAAATGTCAATGCAACAACTTGCGCCACAAATACAATTACAGTCATCAGTTTTCATAATTCTCATATAATAATTCCATAGAGTTTCATTTTGTTGGATTGTACTTAAGTCAATAGCTGGGGGGAAATAGTACATAATAATGTAATATATTGTATATAAGTACATATGTACATATGCTTGCGTGTAGCTCAACGAGTTGTATAAGGACTATAAATACATAGGTACAGTTATATATATTTAGCTTATTTAAGTATACGTGTGAGAGTGTGGGTGTTAGTGTGAGTGTGTAGGCTTTACAGTGTAGTTTACAATCAAATCAAAGATCAATTTTATCACCCATCTGACAGGAGTTACATAGCTAAGCAGCAGCTTTAGTTAACGGTATTTAAGTAAGAGTTATCATTCTGTTTTCATCATGAAATGATTTATGTTTCATTTAGCACTTTGTTATTGTGTGTTCATCATACAAGTATAAGTAGGTGGGCTTCACGATCGAATGAGAATATATATATATAAATATGTACATATTTATATATATSTATAATCGTGCTTTCTCCAAAATATTATTTATGTTAAACATTTACAAACACAGCACTAACAATGACATACACAAATACAAATGCGTATAGGTGTAGATATAGGCGTATGTATTATATGCATATATATACATACATAAATATGTATATATATTAATATACATACATGTTATGATTGGGTCCAAATAATGTGTACATCTCTCGTATATATATAAATGTTCATATAATGCACCACATAAGGAGGTTGGGTTAATTTTGTTTTCGTTTTTGGTTAAAAAACATTTAAACATTTCAACAACAAGCTACTTATTAATTGTTTTTGTGTTTGGTTTTTCTTCAAACTTTTCGCACATTTTCTTTGCTACTTATATAAAGTTAATAACATTTAAAACACACTCATATATATTTATGTATATACTATATATAGTTAAACTCTTCTACAATTTTCACTAGTAACATTTATAAAGTTTTTGTTTGTTTTGTTTTGTTTTGGCATTTGTTTTTGTTTTTATTTGTCTATATAAATAGTTCTATAATAAGTTGCCGCACGGCTGCAGCTACTCATTTAGCCTGGCCCAAACTCAGCTCAGCTGTTTCATAATCCTTAGTAGTGAATATATTTTCTTGTATTTATTGTATCGATTTGCAGAGCCTAGTTTAATGCTACTACACAAGCTGCGTATATAGGAAAATGTTTTCAATGTCATTTGTTTGTTATTAAAAATTCGTTACCGTCTCCTACGCAGGGATCAGCAGACAATGACGCCTAGTACGTTGACACGACTAACAATTATGTAAAACGTTTATGTTCAGCTTATAAATCTATTGTTGGTGCTTTGTTCTTACTGTGTTTTAATCGGGCAATTCGATTGCCCAAGAGAAATTTCAACTAACACAAAAACACACACAATTGTCGAGTAACGGATATTAGGTGCTATATAGTTAGCGCATATCGAAACTTGTAGTATTAGTTTTAGTTTTGAGCATTCATAGCTAAGCTAATTCATTTAGTTAGTTTATAGTAACCTTAAGCGTAGTCACTGCTATTTCTAGTTAAGTTCTTGACATACATACTATATCATATACGTAGTTGTATTTGGGTTTCTTTTATTTTTGTATCTCTGGTTTTTTCAAATTTTTTTTAAAGTTCTCTAACAATAATTTCTACCAACACCGAAAAATAAATATGATATAATTGCTGTGATTATATGACAAAATAGCAAAGAATACATTTAGCCATGGCCATTTGTTTATGGTTAGTTAGTGGTAGTAGTAATATTAAGAGTCCAAATAAATGTTATTCAACGTATATCGAAACGTAAAACACATAGAAATCAAATTAGAACATATAATGTAATATATAT